TCAAAAAAAAAAACAATAGATTGCTTTAGTGTTTTCTAGAAGATTATATTTATTTATGTTTGAATACCACAGAATACATACACTTACAAATATAATCAACAATATCAACATACATAAATTAGGAAATAAAACTTTAAAACATATTTCCATTTATCAATCAGAGCCTATTAGTGCGAATTTGTGCTTTAATGTGTAGGCGTTTCTTCAAGAACAAATCTTCTAATTGTCAGTTTAAGGGTCAAAATTGTATTGAGATCATTGCATAAATAGATCAAATATACATACCTCCCTGGCAACAGCCCTCGCAGTTCTCCAATTATCCCCTGTAACCATGACAGGTATGACACCCATCTTAAGAAGACCCTCCACAACTACAGCAGCCTCTCTTTTTAATGGGTCTGCAACACCCAAAACACCAATCAAGTTATTATCCTGAGCAACAAGTATGCCTGTCTTGGCACTTTCTTCCAGTTCTACCATAAAACTTTCAACATTGGTTGGAATGCTGATTCCACTTTCTGCCATCAGCTTCCGATTGCCAACCTGTTCAGTAAATATTACTCCAATAAGCAAAATCCCCAAGGTAAATATAATTAGGCTATAGCAACATCTTATGCTGAATATTACCAAAACCCGCTTTCCATCAATAAAGCACCGGATTCCTCTTCCTGGCAGAGCAGAGAAATCTGAGACATCAAGAAGCCATCCAGATACAGTGGATATTTTGTTGTCGCTCTTGTCCTTGATTGAAGAAGGCTCATCAAAGAAATGAAAGTGACGAACATATTCCACAATTGCTTTTGCTAATGGGTGTTCACTGCTAGCCTATGCATGGAGAATGTAAGAATTAATGTTATTGGCCATCAGCATTTTTCTACAGCATAATACGTAGACCACAAGAAATTACCTCTGCAGAAGCCACCAATGTAAGAAATTGGCCTCGATCCATCCCTGAGAAAACTTTTGCAGTTGTAACTGCAGCTTTCCCCTGGGTTAGGGTTCCTGTTTTATCAAACACTACATACTTAACCTTCTGTGCCCTTTCCAATGCATCCCCTCCTTTTATCAGCACACCATTATTTGCCCCAACCCCTGTTGCAACCATGACAGCAGTTGGAGTTGCCAAGCCAAGAGCACAGGGACATGCAATCACCACAACTGATATTGCAAACATGAGAGCAAAAACAAAGTGGTTTCCATTTTCCGGTAGCCACTGTTCTGGGTAAGCTCCAACAATTCCACCAATAAGCCTATAGACAATTAAACAAAAATTTGTAGTCTTTCTTCTATAAATCCAGTTGGGAATGTGAATGTACAAGTCAATCTATACTCACCAACCCAATAATGTTATCAATGACATCGCAACAACCACAGGAACAAAAATGCTTGCAACCTGCAACCCGGAGACACAAGTACATAAGCAAAGTACTTAAGTTACTGAAAATTTAAAAATTCTATATCCTAATAAACCTTTTCATTGCAGCTACAATTACAAAACAGTCGGTATAGACCTTAAGCTAACAAGTGGCTAAATTCAAGAAAGACAGCAAGCCTGAAAACATATAGGCAGCCCTATCTGTCAAATACAATCAACTTTCTCAATCACACCAAAACTCCATGTTCATAGCACTTGATAAATGTTTATTATCCAAATATAATGGAGTAAAAATATCTTCATAGCACTTGATAAACGTTTATTATCCAAATATAACAGAAATAAAAATTTCTTAGTGTAAGGTAAACGGGACACAGTCACAGATAGATATACAAGTTATATCAATATCTTCTATAAATGGCAACAAAAAACAAAATCTTTTCTAGAAAGCTCCTCTTCTTCAGCATGCAAGTTTTTAGTCATTTCACCTCATCAATTTTCACTTCCAGGTGAATGCAAAAATATAATTCTTTACCGCACTAAATGAATGTTTACTATTTGCAGCCAAAACCATGGAATAACCATTAAACATATCCAATTTAAAAAAAAAAACGCTTACAAAGTCAGCAAACTTTTGAATAGGAGCCTTGGACATCTGGGCTGTCTCAACCAAGCTAATTATCTGACTCAGAACTGCATCAGATCCTACTTTGGTAGCTTGTACATGAAGGGCGCCATGTAAGTTTATTGTGCCTCCAATAACAGGTGAATTTACCTCTTTCACGACAGGCACAGATTCACCAGTTACCATACTTTCATTGACATAGCTTGAACCCCACACAACCACACCATCCGCCGGAAGCTTTGTACCGGGAAGAACCTTTAATGTGTCACCAGGCTGAATTAGCAAAGCATCAATTTCCCTCTCCCCAATACACTTTCCACCTAGAATGCCAATAAAGTGAACATTAATTAGTTTTATGATGGTTTTGCATGCCATTAGCCTCAAATTTGTTCTCCTTCAAGACTAAAACAAAAACTATCATATGTGATCTTCTCAGAAACATTGTTATACATGAAATACACAGGTACCAACCTACATGAAGTAGCATACCAAAAGTCTAGGGTGAAGTGGCATATACCTTTGTCTTTGATTATTAAAATTGCAGTTGCTGGTGCAAGTTCTACTAGCTTCTTAATAGCATCAGATGTTTTTCCCTTTGCAAGGCATTCCAGATATTTCCCCAACAACACAAATGTTATCAGCATGGAACTTGTTTCAAAGTATGTTGGAGACCAAAAACCAGTTACTGCACCATATAGAAGTGCACCAACAGAGTAAAAATAAGCCGCCGAAGTCCCAAGTGCAACCAAAACATCCATGTTAGTCGAACCATTTCGAAGAGCTCTCCCTGCTGCAATGTAGAAGCGCTTTCCAACAACAAACTGAACAACACTTACCAATGCCCATTTCAACCAATCACCCATCAAGAAGGGTCCACATCTCCAAAGCAGTAAGGAATCCAGAAGTGGAATGTGAGGACAAACTACTCGTATGAGAAAAACAGGAATCTGGAACAAATTCATCAATGGAAGAAAAGTTAAATTACTGGAAAGAGTTAATTTCTTTTAAATAGGCTTCAGCGGAAAGCCTCCACGAAATTGTTTTAGGCATTTGCTCCAATGTAAAAGTTAGGAAGATTAGGCATAGCCCATAGACAAGTTTATGTCGTATAAACACAGTAGCATTGCAGGATACTTATATCAGAGACAGAGTACAAGCATTTGCAGTGCAAAGCAATATGCAGAAAAATGGTTCAGTGGAGAGAGAGAAAGAGGAAATTTTATCACAGAAAAAAGAGGAAAAAAATAAAGAGAGAAAACTTGTTCACATAAAAAAAAGAAGAAAAACAATGCAATACCTTGAGTACCAGAAAAAAGGCAGAAAATAAGCATATTACACATCCAGGGACATGTCTAAATGTTTAGGGAACATAACGTGTTCAGAAAAGGAAGAAGAGAGGGACAATATGTGGCACTCACACTGAGAAAAAGACTGGAGATAAAAAGACGGAACATGTTTGAGGTTTCTTCGAAGTCTTTAGAAGTCATCCTTGCATAAGGATTCATAACATGTAATTTAAACTTTCCGTTGCCTCCTCCCTCAATCCCATCAACCAAGGATCTAGGACTGACAACTTCAGGATCAAAAACTATTTGTAGTACCCCTGATGCCCAGTCAAAACGAAACTGCCTCACCCCTTTTAACCGGCTAAGTATGCCTTCCAGGAGCTGTACATCCACCTCGTTGAATACCCCAGTAACTCCAAGGATGATCTTATCCTGCTCACTGCTTTGAACAAATGAAGCTTCAAAGCCAGCATCTTCAATAGCATTTATTATATCATCCTTACTGACCACAGTGGGATCATATTCAACTTCTCCTAATGAAGTAGCCAACGCAACCACAGCCTTTTTGACACCAGGAAGGGCTCTTAAAATACCTTCAACAGAGTTGACACAAGCTGCACATGTCATACCCCCTATTGTAAACTGCCCCAAAAGGGTTGCATTAGATTTTCTCCCAGTTGTAGAGGGTTCTGGTAGAATCTCTGCCTCAAACCCTGCATCTTCGATGGCATTTTTTATGTCCTCTCCCTGAAATTTAAGACAGGGTTATAGAATACTTTAAATATAGTTATGGCTTTAGAAAAGTAAGATTCTTCTCGTCATAACCAATGCAGTCAATGAGAGGATATAATCAGCCACAGCAAGAACGAAGAACTTAAGCTTCTCATTGGAAACTCTTAAAATCACAAACTGTTAATAAAATTTAGACAGGATGGGGAAGACACAGGGAGAAAACTTCAAAGATTCTGAGAAGTGAGTGACCATTAAGGCACATATGAACCTCCAATCAAATCTCTATAACTCTGAAACCTCAAGGGTCTGAAATTCTAAGAGGAACCGATGCACGTTTCCAGAAAAGATCTCAAATCCATGTTTGAGCATTGAACGGTGGAAGATAGGAATTACCATTTGTGGTGGAAAAAATAGGCGAGGGTCAACCAACACATGATTTACCTGCGTAAATCACTTCAGTCCAATAACAAGCATGACTACAAAGAAAAAACAACATTAGAAAGGAAATAGAAAAGGATATCCAGCAGCTCTTGAGTATCCTTAGAAACCGCTACCAACCAATTGCTCGAATCAACAATAATACAAACAAAAACCAAACCATTGATGAGTAACGTTGAAGGATGACATATTTCAGAATCAGATTAATCAAATGGCAAGAAAACAGGAACATAAAGTGAAATAAACTAACAAAGTTCAAGCACGAAAACACCTACCAAAGATTTATTGTTTACTTAAAAACAACACTAACTCGTGATCCAACTCAAACATTATTGACAAACAAGGGAAACCAAACCCATTTAACAACAACAGTAACTCTTGATCCAACTCAAAGGTTATCGAGAAACAAGGGAAATTAGCCCATTTCCCAAATTACCATAAAAAGCATTCAAACCCAGATGCCAGATGTAATAACACTAACTTCAGCAGGAAAAAAAAAACACCTATTTATCATCATGGAAAGCAAATCAAATTATTACCAAAAACAGCAATTAGAACCCACCACAAGAAGCAGAAGTTAACCATGAGAATTCCCAGAGAAAAAGAAAGAGAATAATAGTACTAAGAAGCAAATCAAAGAACCAAACAAAAGAAACCGTAACCAAAACCATCAGCCTAAATCCAAATTAATCGCGAGAGAGAAAGAAAACTTGGAAACGAAATTATTAACACTAACCTTGACCAAAGAGGGATCTAAAACGACATCAGCCTTGTTTTGCAACAAGGCCACACTTGCTGCCAAGATCCCATTAACGCTCTTCAAAGCAGCTTCAACAGAATTCGAACAAGCAGCACATGTCATTCCCGTCACAGTCAATTGAATTCTCCTCATACCCTCTTCGACTTTTACAAAATTATCGCTGTTTCCGTCTTCATATGAGTCCAAAAGCCGCACCTCCTCCATGTCACCGGAATCTTCGATGGTCGCCGGCGGTACTCTACCACCGGCGACCGCTGTCAGCTGCAGGTGCCTCCCGCTCGGCGCCATTGACTTGGGCACACCGAGCCGAGATGGATACGGCAAAATTTCTCTCTCTATAATCTTAAAATGTAGATTTATAAAGACAGAGAGAAGGAAAGAGGAAAAGAAAAGCCAAGGGGAGGTTTCCGAGGGCGAAGGTGGAGACAGCAATTGCGTGCATAAAAGATTGTAGGGATATTGAATTACTTAATTACCCTTAACTTTTATATTTTTTTTTTCCTTCTCTATGACTTTGTACTTGCATTTCTAAGTGTTGTACTGCAACGTGTGAAATAGTTTTGTATATCTATATCTGTGTGTGTGTGTGTGTGTGTATATATATATGTATATTAAGGAAGAAAATAAATTTCTTTTTTCTTAAAGAAATTAATCATTTCTATCTAATAAATTTAAATTTTACTTAATATAATAAAGTTAATTTTTTAAAAAAATGGTGTTGCTTAAATTGACTTTGGTTTAAAAAAAGAATATTGAAGTATTTGGATATAACCCTATAATTATTAATAAACCTAAGATACAAATTAGTACGTGTTTCCATATTGATTTCATTATGTTTGTAATGCATGTGCGGTAACGTAATATTACAAGGAAAAATTAGCTGGGTTAAGCGACTTACGTAATATATAATATATAATTACAAATAAAAAAAATTATATGCGTATAATTATGATAGTAAGATTCTTCTAAATAAAATTTAAAAAATAAGATATGAATTACTTACTTCAAATCATTTTTAATTTAAAGCACGAGTACATATATATATATATATATAATTTAAAATTGTAGTCAAAAGCTTAAAAAGCACGTGATACTCATATTTGATGCTGCATTTAATTAATGAATCAGTGCATGTACTACATCAAATTTTAAATTTGAAATAAGGTTAATTAATCATGATATTTAAATTATTTTTGAAATCATTTGTTAAAATGTAATTTAATTGCCCTCGTATTAATCAACTTAATAACAAGATTTTACTTTGAAAAAATTCTTAAATATTACATTTAAAGAACATGAAATATTTCCTATAAAAATAATATATAAATGTCCAAAACTTAATGAAAAATGATATATTGAATTAGTGAAATAATAGCGAAAATAATTATGAGTTTATGATTTACATTATTTGTACAGTAAATCATGATACCCAATAGAGTTACGAGAATGTTTCCTTTAGCGAACTGAAAATAACGAAAAAAAAAAAAACATAACTAAAGTTTTATAGGGTTAACCTTCACTGAACAATTCTAATGAAATGTGGAAGACAAACTTTTAGTCGCAACCTTCTTACTGTTCAGAATCTAAATCTTAGTTTTCTTGATATAAAATTGTTAAATAAGGATGATGAATTATACTAACCCAGTAAAAATGTCAATGCTTAACATCGATACAGAAAACCAAATGTTGATAGAAATCGTAAGACAATCTATGGATCTATTATATTTCGTAGGTAAATTCATTTAATTTAAAAACGTAATTTTCATACTCACCTTTATGAGTTTAAAAATGTAATGCCCAAATTTAATTTAATAAAAATTAAATTAATTTATAATTTTAAATTTTTTAATTTTTTAATTTTAATTTAGTATAAAAGTGAAGAAAATTTGATGGATGATGAAATTAAAAATAATTTTGAGAAAAAATGGTGAAAATTTGGGTTCTTGGGGTATTTTTAAAAGAAAAATCAGAAACTGGAGGGTCAAAATGTAATTAAAGAAAGTTGTACCACGTAAGATGCCCGGTCAGCAGCCCCGACGAACCAGAACGCGACGCGCACCAACGGATGCTGACGCGGTGCCACGCGAGGGGCCACGCGAGTGGTCTACGTACCCGCGATCAAACAGCCCAGATCTATTCCCGCGTGCACAGACAGCCCGGATACGTCCCCCCAAATACGATCGGACGGTCAGATTTAAACGCGATCAACGGTGCAGATCCACTTCCTATTTAAACACAATTGGATGGCCCAGATTAGATTGCGATGAACAGTCCAGATTCACTTCCTATTTAATTGCGATCGGACGGTTTAGATCAAATGCGACAGACAGTTCAGATTAAATAAAGACGGATATAAATAACCCTCTTCACACCAAATCGTAGCCCTAACCACCAGACCTCCCCCCCAGCCGGAGAAGAAGACCTAGCCGCCGGGAAGGAAGCTACCGCCACCGCGCCGGAGCCCTTTCCGACTGCCAAAAGAGGCAAAAAAAAATTTTTTTTGCTTAGAATTCAATTTTAAACACCTTCATGGCCAAATCAGAGCAAAAAGATCGGCGGCTTGGCTAGAAACTGCGGGCAAAGCCTGGCGACGCCGCCACAGGGAATTGCAAAAATTGCCTTCGATGAGGCCCTTCCCGATTTCTGTTATGCATAATTTTTTCACTATTTGATCATTGTTTCCTTCTCTACAGGTTGACCAGAGTAAAACACTCAAACGCAAAGCGAGCCGGTGGAATCGCTGCACCGGAGAGCCCCGCGGCTAGTGAGTTTCAATTTTTCAATTTTTTGGGGCAACCGTTACCCCTTAACGTGTTTTCTAACAGGGATTGATGTAAAATCGACCGAAAATAGCACACTTGAGGTGAATCGCCGCCACGGGTAGCGGCGCCGTCGCTAGAGCACAGCGGCTCAGAATTGGCCAAAAAGGGGTCCTAACACTATTTTTGGGTTTTTTGAGATATTTGTAGGTACTTATAGCATGTTTTAATCCCTAAAGAAAAATTCAGGAAACTCGGGGATCGTTAGTAAGCGCAGTCAATAGCTTAGCTTTTCAGATATCAAATTGAGTAAGAATCTCACCCTATTCTCTGTTACAGAATTGAAGTCTAATTAATGATAATACGGTAAATTATGCAATCTAGGAAATATTCATAATTAATAACAGGTTACTAATGGAGGCAGAACCGAAAACTATTCATTACTGATTCTGTTTGATTTATTTTATAATTTAAATGCATGATAGTATTTGATTGATCAATTTTATAGTTTTGAATGCATGTATTGTTTGTTTTGTATGGTTACGATTAAATTGGGGAACTGGAGGTTAAAGGTAAACAAAATTTTGTGTGGTGAAGTGAATGGATGAAACGGCAGCCTCACTGGATATCCTGAGAGATGATGGACGGACCGAGTCCATTGAAAATCCTACCGTGAACGTTGTCTCATACCGGACGGGATATCGAGACTTGATAATTTAGCACTCATATCAAACAGGGTATGGGAACGGCCCGTTTCACCCTCATACAGACGGGTTATTGAGGTTTAGTAATTTGGCTCCCATACTGGACGGGGTATGGGGAATGCCTGTTAATTAAGAATGTTAAAGGAAATGGTTCACGCGTAGTGGGAACATCCATGTGGACTCCTATGGATACCAACAGGCTGATGAAAATGGACAGTTGTTGTTTTTATTAATTGAATATGGAATTATAATATGTGCATGTTATCAATTGCATATGAAATCGTGATAAATGTTATGTTATTGTCTCTATAGGTTGTTTTTGTAAATTTCACTATAGTAA